GATCAGCTGACTATTCAGGCCAGGGTTGTATTCGCTCTTTGCATTTATTTCTAATGGCTCTATTTTGTTTTTCTTGTCAAGTACATTTTTGTTCGATTAAATAGAATCTATGAATATGCAATACTTTCTATCGACAAAAAAGCTAAATTTAAAACTAAGTTAAAAAGAAAGTCGTAATAAAATCATTCAATTATTACCTCTTATTAAATATTTTTTATCAAAAAAGTTTAAATGCCTTTAATTACTTCAAAACGCGAAGTCATGAAAATAACTTTTTTTAATAAGGAAATTTTCTGCAATTATAACAAACTCATTTTTTACTTAGTAAGTTGTTAATTTTCATAAACGTTTCGCTTTTTAAATTTGATTATCTGGCTCATGCATTAAGCATTATAACTTTTACTTTTATTCGCATTTTCTTTGCAACATTACCACATCTCACTAAATTTGTTTTGAATGAGAGCCATTTAGATAATTACTTCTAAAAAAGTATCCGATAACTTCTTCAAGCAGCCGAATAAAATATTCAGACTATAAAATGAGTATCTCCCATTACATATGTAGTAGACGCTATGATAGATTTGTGTCTGAGACAATAGCACCGCGAGATGGTAAAGATAAAATCCATAAATTTTCTTCCAACGTATAGAGAATCGGCTTTTTTCAACTCTCCTGCATTCTATGGGATCAAGGTCTAGTTTTTAAAAAGCGGCTGTATTTAAATACACCACTTGAATGTTTAATTCGTAAGTCAGCAGTGGCTAGATTTACGTCTAACGTATAAATCAATCATCGATCAAAAGGGCTCAAATTACCCGATTAAAAATTATTTTGTTTCCAAATTCCACTCTGTAAATAATTGTACAAGGCAATTTCTATTAGTCAAAGTATCCCCGCAGAGAGTCTATCTAGTCATTTTACATCTAGTCATTGCCTAATTTGTTAGCGAGTTCGATCCGCCGATTAAAAAGAATCCCGATATTTTATTTGCAATAAATTACATCGACTGTCCCACTATGTATATGTTTGTATAGCGGTAAAAATTATCTATTATTTATGGTGTGGTAGCGATCACAGTGAAAATGTTCGAAATAACATGTTTCACCATCTTGTTAACACATAAATACTTCACTCCAGATTCAAAGAGCATTAGTTAACTTATGCATTATGCTTATATCGTAAATTATAATTTTGCAACCGACTATAATAGTCGTCATTTTAATTGATATACATGCCTATTATTTTACATACGTTGGTGTACAACTACAAAGAAAAGTAAATAGTTAAAAATTTTATATAGTTTATATAATAAATAACCTCTGGTGTATCAATGAAGGAAAAAATGGGTTTGAGGTAAAGATGATTATGAAAGTGTCTCACAGGTAAGAAATAATAGTAGTACATTAGGTCATGTAAATGACAAATGTGAAAGTTCAATGGGTTTTGTAATAACTTATATTTTTGAAAAAATGATAACCGTATCGAAAACCGAACAATACCTATTTAAAATATCCATATAAGTGATTAAAAATTCCAAGTTACGTACTAACGCAATTTTGCACGGTTTTATGTCTCTTCTCGAGTTTTGCAATGCGAATAAGTGTAGGCATAGGTTAGATTATTTTTGAGCAATTTGCAATTTGTATTGCATTCAAAAGTTATTCGTGTTTTTCCTATTTTGGTCGAAAACTGTTATTGTTTCCACGGGTAATAAGATTTCCAATACTTATAACAAGCTTTTACTACCTTTTACTTTTGTACCCCTTTCGTGTTATAAAACAGAATAAAATAGTTGCGTAAGCATTAAAATTTGAGTCATTTATTTAACGACTAAAAACAGAGGAATTTTTGCATTACGGCTGACATTTCTACGTGTCTTCCATTCCAAATGCGCGAACTTTTACTTTCGCTGAAACTCCCGTACTCGACCGGAGATAAAACATCTTAAAAAATAATAAAAAAAGAGCCTACAAAAATCGAGGTAATGAAAAATGTACAAAGTACACAAAATCAGATTAGGGTTCCGTGCGCTTTTGCAGTTGACAGTTGCATCACCGAACGTGACAAGTTTACAGTCCCGAGGATTCGGACTCGCGAGACACGCACTCGAAAAAAAAATTTGACGGACGGCTTATCTACTTTTGTGATTTGTCTCACGGGAAGCTATTTTTTTAGGAGATTATCTCGAACCGAGGATAATTTATTTATTGTAGATTCACATCTAGCAAATCATGTTAAAGAAATGTATGTGTAGAAGATTTACTGTGTACTCGAATAGAAAAGACATAAATACACCTACCTATACTAATAAATTGTGCTTTAAAATAACAAGAAATTTGCAAATATATTGAAACATTTTACGTCCTTTATAAACGTCCTGTAACGAAATCAAAACTCGAGAACTTTTACCGTTTTCTTTATTTCGAATTCAAATTTCTCGTTTCGATTATTTTCTTGACCTTGCTTATCTGAAGAATTCTCGTTCTAGAATTCTCGTTTTAGGTAAACCTCCTGTCAATACGACCTAGGTTAATAAATAACTAAATAATCCTTATGCTAAACACACTTTTTCCCACAAATAAAGCCTATTAATATGAAAAATTGTGCAGCGCCTTTCCAACATTCTTTCAATGAATTTAAGCTATTGACCTGGCGGAACTCAAATTAATAAATTACCTTGGAAGGAGGTTTAAAATTTATGAAAAAGTTTATCTACTTAGCTAAATTTATTTGGTATTACGAATTGGTGGCATTAAGATTAACACATATTTAATTCCTAATTAATTTATTCGCGACTTGTTTTTCATTCTTTTATTTCTACTTAGGTACTTCATCACAGGTTTAAGTCACAACCACATAATAAAAAACGAGAAATTAAAAAGTTATTAATTAATGCAAAATATCTTATTTTAACCCATGATGACCGGTTGGAATGTGCAACTCATCAAGCATGCACTAAATATGAAAAAAAATCACCTTCCAAGAACTTTAAAAATATCGTAAATATACTATATTTTAAAATTGCGTAACGATCGTTCTGGTGTTTGAACTTGGTTTCTAATAAAAGGGGTCTACAACCTGAATAAGTGTTAATACACATGGAGATTTTGTTGTTTTCATTGCCGAGCATAGCAAATCTCACTATATGAAATTCATGTTGCAAGCGAAAGTCAAGTATGAGAATTCGCTCACTATTAAATGAGTTTTTTAAATTAATTGAATGTGGCCATTTAACCTTCAGTGGCTCCTTTAAAAAATTTGCTAAAATAAACTTGCAAATAGTTCCTAAAAAGTGCATTTCCAAATAATTAATTTACCAAAGTTGAAAGCGTTAACGCATCCTAATAAATGTAATATAGAGGTGAAGGAAAACTTGGAGCTAATAGAGGTGTTTGGAAAAATTAACCGTAATTCTGTAGCAGTTTCATTCAAGCAGGCGTTTTCTCTTTGAGACAGGTCGTATTTAATTAAGCCTAAACGACGTTTTCTTAGAGTTTGTTAACAACAGCAGTCCGCAACTGCTCCGCGGATTACCATCGAAAGGAAAGAAACGAGGAATTCTTTAATTATTGTTAGAAAAGTTTCGGAATTTTGTAATCACCTTGAGAGCCGCAAGATGATCTTAATTCTCGTAATTAACTAGCAGTTATTGTTCGTTAATATTTGTGCAGAGAAAATACCTCGGCAATTTTCTACCGACTGTTCGGATATTTTTCATTTTTATATAATTTCTTTCCAGTAAAATGCGTACAAGTAACACACAAACTCAATTTATGGTCTAAATATTAGTAGAATCAATCGCGCTACAAAGAGTTGGAAGTGTCTGTATAGAATTAGCATTTTCTTAGATACCGTTTGTACAAGAAAATTTAATCCTCGTTCATTTTCGAACCTGTGCGTATTCTAATAAGTGTCATCACTGCATCGAATTCGTCGTAGACCTGTCTCATCGATCGCGCTGACCTCACGCAGCAGTTTTTTCCAATTCCGCCGAGCGAGCCTCCGGGATTGGAAAAACATCATCGGCTAAATTCAAAGAGCCGACACCCGGAAGAAAATTCTTCTTCGGCGAGATGGATGGTTGATGGACCACATTCCATCTTCTCCGTATGCGCACCATCTACATGCAGAAATTGTTATTAAAATTTACCCGACATATTGCTTACAATGACAATAAATCATCTAACTGTAAAGGTGAACTCGTAAGTTCGGTTTGACGGGCGGCGACGTGACAGGGAGATCTTCGAATTTGTTCCGATATGAATTTTTCAACGCGCTCAAATCGATGGAGGAATGAGGAAATGTCGGACCTCGCCTTCAACGCCTGGTTGAAGTTATTTGCGAATATTTTAATTCAGATTTTATGTTACTAATAGGTTTTGTAGATAGCACCAGGTACTGATTGAGATGTCACAATCACACCCTCTGTGTGAGTCTATGAGATGTTAATAAAGAGAAAAAAAGCAAAATCATTTAAAGTCCATTGTAATAAAACACGAATTCATTCCGAATTCCCAATTTACAACAGATTCGAATTAAAAGTAACCGCTTTTTCTCGAACCAGTAGGGGACCCAGGTTGTAGAAATTTATTACCAGGCCCGTAATCGGGCGTTGCTCCCTAGAGGGCGGTTCCATCGATTTAGCATAACAATTTACAACCAACTCGCCAAATTCCTGTACCATTGAAACATCCACCATACAAAATCATTCAAATTCGCCGTAACTTTTCGTTAATACTACAAATGCAATTTTACGAGATATATGGTGGTACCATAAAGTGGTGGTTTTGACAACCTATTTACTCCGAATCAACTCGTATAAATAACTGAGCGATTCAATTCAATTATTCGTAAATGTAGTGTTTGAAATCCGCTAAGCGATTGCGAAATGGTCAATTCCTCGACTCCGAAGAAATGACAAAAGAAATTCTTCTTCCATCGCGCCGTCCGTGCTCGATTCGAGTTCGGCTCTGCGGACCGAAGCATTTCAGGTTTCTTCGCTCGTACCGGCGGTCTCTCGGCAATGGTTCGTGGTTCTTCAGTCACCAATAGACCCTCGCTGGTGCCGGTACCTGATCCGACCGAGTACCACCGGTGTACCACTTCAAGGTCAGCCGTGAGCCAAGAATAGTACCACCGCGGTGCACGATACGCCGAGCTGTGATATAGTCGAAAAATTATTATTCGTGTGCGAATATCCGCAACTCGGGCGATCGACAGTCCGATTTTTCGTATGGTTTCGGTGGTTGAAATTTTATTTGTTGAGTGCAGTGGATGTTTTAAGAGAGATACAGTGCGTTTTGGGATTTAAGCGGTTGCAGATGGCTGTCAAGCTCGAGCTTGCTGGTGCCCGTCGATAACTTCTGACAAAAGGTAATGATGGATCGGAGTTATTTGTAGGTGATGAGTTTTCGAACTACGGGTGTCTCGGGGAATTAGGAAACGGGTTTGGACTAAGTCCGGTTGATTAATTATTTCAAACGATTCATTCATTCAATTTGTATTCTGGATAATGATATTTTGTAAGGATCAAGTTCGGGGTTATTAACATCAATAACTCAAGGAAAAGTTTGAATGCTGTTTTTCATGTTCAGTTATATTTTAAAATTAATTTTATTCTTAATTAGTGCGAAACTTACCGCAAAACATAATTTATGAAAACAGCTTTTCTGCGTTTCCTGAAAAGTTATTTATTAGCAAAACCACATTTTATACCTTTTTGCTTCGTATGCGCTCAGTTACTCACTTATTAATAGTACTACCTCATTCATAAATACAGCTGATAGCCTAGGTAGGGCCAAAAAATAAGGATTAATTATAAACTCAAATATTATAAATATTATAAAACCTCAAGATAATGAACAAAACATCAAAAGATTCATCCTTTTTGTGAATCTGTAATCCACGCTTTGTAAATGAAGCAGATTTAGATAAAAAAAACAATTTGTAACAAAAGGAAACAAGGTATTACCCCAAGAGGCACTTATCTTTCACAGATCCATTTTTATTACGTTATTGTTGTATTTATTGTTACGAAGCGTTACCTTTTGAAAGGTGCTATTAACGAAATATTACCTGAATTTTTTTATTACTTTAGTACCTACCCATCGTTTACGCCTCTTAAAGTGCAATAAAAATTTAACGCCATATTCAAGCAGTTTTCGAAATTATACGTTATTTTCTACCTATAAAAAGATACATTTTTCCAGATACGTATAAGCACCATGGTTATCCATGCAAAAATCATATAGGTAATAAGCCGTTGACTCGACCATATGTATTCAACCATCTCTATACTGAACAATATTGAACCATCTCTATTAATATACATATTCCTCTGTTTTAACAAGTAATAGTGTTAATTTTATAAGTTTGGGTAAAGTTTGGTTTAAACATGAAACATTCACAGATACTTTGAAGTATATTTTTGGCCAACTACTGCAAATTCGGCATAAGAAGAAACCAGTTTTCTGTAAATCTGCAAAAGCAAATATTACCTTAACAAACCGACAGTACAAAAAACTGTAAATATACATTGTTAGAAACGTCCTTTCTTATCTCCTTCGCATTTAAACAATGCGTCGTATACGTCACCTTCTAAGGTGTTTAAGTGTACTTAGGTATTCAAAGGTAGCACAGTACCTACCTGTATGCTCCGTAGGTACTTTTGTCGTGTTGTTTCTTTTTTTTATTGTACGAGCCCCGGTGTGCATGAGCACACCCTTGTAAATTTCGCTTCGTCATAATATACCTGCCGGATATTGCATTGCACAGGGCGAGTTGCAACAACAGGTGGTTCGTTTAACTTAAAGCCAAAGTTAATGGAAGGAATAAGGATACTGAGCTAGAGCTGTAGCCAGGCGTTTCGGCGGTTTTGAGTGGATGGTTTCATTCAAGAAATTCACAGAATGTTTGACCGTGTATCTGACTATTCCCAGAATGGTGTAGGTAGTATAAAGGAATTAATTATCATGTTAGGCGCATATAAACACAGAAAGAATTCAGTGTGGATTCGATGTGGAGAATCTTATGCATTCTTAGATACATATTAGTTTATTGAAACGTGAGAACTTTTTCAAAATTCCGGTATTAAACACCGCTAGATTGAGATTAGAAACAAGATAACATGCGATAGAGAACCAGTTTGGTCGCAAAAATGAATTAGAAATTAAAAACAACAATATTTCATTATATTCTATGTGCTGTCTCTTAAATTTACTCCGAGATTCTTCTAATAGGACATTATCATTACGAAGAAACGTTAATGTTGGATAACGAAACGACTTCCTGAAATTAAAGATGGTAGGTTGGTACACTCGATTGACTGGAGGAAATATTCAAATGGTATGTGGAAATTATGTAGTTGTGCTAGTTATTGACCGTTTAAGGTCGTCAGCTGATGTCCAGACTCCGGTCGTTTTGAAAAAAAATTTGAATAACCTGAAAGAGAGCCGGAGAGTTTTTAATTATTCCGGATAAGATCTTTTTTCCATATACTCGTTTAATAATAGGTTACCGTTTTATTTCTAACCTAACCTTCTAAAATGTTATCGAACTGTATTTGTTTGTTGTGAGAATAACGTAAATATAACAGTTTTTTTACTTGGAATGCATAGGGGAATATTCAAAATATTTTCATTCTACAAGGAACTAAGAAAATTTATTTGCAGGAATAGGAACTTATCTAGTTCATAACGTTTCATCCAATAGTAAAACGAACAATATAATGTATTTTATTAATATGCGAGAATAAATTAGCATTTTCTTAAGATAGGTAATACTTTCTACATTGTTATTTGTTTCACTTTCGATGCGAATAAAACTCGGATATTTTTTTTCTATTTGATAATTACTAAATTATAACTACGTCCGGAAGTTAATTAATAAAACGTTTTCGGCTATTATTCCAGCAAATTATACGTTTAAATGATCGAATTATTCTGAAAGCTTGGAAACATGTTGTGTAATTCAATTGAAATTTAAAGAAACTGATGATTATTGAATGCACCATCGCGATTGTTATTAAACTAGACTAATTAAGGTTGTTGACGAAAAAAAATCTCCACCATAAACTACGTTTTCCATTAAAACCGTAAGTGCTAATTCAAATCGAACAATAACGTATTCCGTTTAATTAAAAATTTGCATTTGATATTGTACGTTTTAAATTTATCAACATTTTATGACCTTTTATTTTAAACGAGAAAAACTGTTTGTGCATATTTAAAGCATATAAATAATGAGTTATTTCGATGGAATATATGACGCAAAATTCCAGTCGATGATATTCACTTTTCTCGCGAAAAAATACATTTAACACGTCCATTTGATGTTTCCCTTTATCCACGCCTAAAGGTCGTTCGACACTCCCTGCTGTCGACCTTCTAAATTTTCAATTTTATTTCTTCTGCCTTGCTATTTTATTGTTCCATTAATAAACCTACAAGGTGACTGTGCGAACTATTTTTAACATCCTGCGTATGACTCGCGTACTCGAACTTTTATTCCTTTGCACTTTACGAAGTTACACCCAGGATATGAAACCTATTGGAAGAAAACCTTGACATTACGATCGTCGTTAAATGGATATAAATCTCCACACAGGAAATCCATTAAACAATTTAATTTACTGAAATCGTTCCAACGAGGAATTAACACTTCCAAATTTATCACAACAATTAATTCATTAAGAATGTTCGGTTTGTGTCGAAAAATGTGCAATAATTTCAACAGGAACTAAAATCGCGGGAATCCTGAGTAGCTTTCAATGCCAACAAAAGTAATTAATTTTCGTGCGTTAAGATTTATTAGCGCGTATTTCGGTGAAATGAGTGAAATGAGTGTCACCATTTGACACTATCGAGGTCGATCCATTATGACAACAGCACGTTTTTCGACGATAATTGAGTGAGAACTATTTTTTCAGAATGGAAACGAGATTGATCTAACTGTGACTTTCTGGGTAAGAGATCTCGTGATAAAATTGTAGGTAAGGTGAGCTGTATAACGAGTATCGTGGTACGCTTTTTCCGATTATTCTATTCAATTGATACGGGATATTACTCCGTAAAAAGGTTAAGTGAAATGAACGGTTGGAAAAAATGCACAAACAAATAAAATTGAAGTTTTGAAACTCGTACTTGAAATCAGTAGGTTTTAATGGTTTTTCTAAATTTCGGTAGGTATTAAAACAGTATACCATATCAAATTATTATTCACGACTGAACAAAACAATTACTCCCAATAACCAATTCGCATTATCAAAATATTGACGAAACTTCTTATTATACCTTGAACCATTACCCACATATGCTTTTTAGGAAATATTGTAATTTATTTCTTAATCTTTAGTAATTAACTTCTAGAACTGCAACGGTGCGTTGTTCTTAATAACGATTTTTTTTTCATTATATCCCATTATTTTTCGTTATTTTATTTTAATTAACTCATTTCACGGATGATTTAAATTACCAAGGTCGGAGCGAGACCTCTCAAAACATCATTTATTATCCTAAATCCACGGAATTGACACTAATTTGAGGCTGAACAGTATAGGCTTTTGTAAGTACACGGAGGAAAGATTTTTTTTTCTTAATTAATTTATGATGAAACGCGTGGGCAAGGCGAGGCAACTACTCTTCCATTAAAAGACAAATTAGCGTATTGAACAATATTTTTAATAAACGATTTTGTTAATTTTCGATGGCAAAATTGAGGTTGTGAAACTTTAAATTTCTGACATTTAAGTAGTTCTAAAATAATATTGTTTATTTTAAAATGCTTATATTTGTAATATTATCATTTAGTGTCTCTACTAGATTTTCTCTCACGTTTCCAATCTTCCTATGATTTTTATGTTTATTTCGTTTTGTGGTCGATTTAAATTATTCAAATCACTTTCTTCAAAGGCTAAACCATCGGAATTAATACACCAAAATATTAATTTGCAACTAATTCAGCAAACTATGGGAAAATCGATTATATCATGAATAAGTGAATCATTATGGTAAATACGCCGTGTTGCGCATACTTATTAAGGAAACGCAGACATTTTAGTCGAGTACAAATATCCGTTCTTCTTTTACATATTAACAAGCTCGATTGTGTGAAAATCGAAGCGCGGTGAAATTGGGCGTGAAGAAACCGAGAGCCTTGAACTTAGCAATTTATTTGCCGTAGCCTTAATGGGGCATTTTAGAAAATTATTTGTACAACCCTCGTACGTTCCACATCAACCGACCCGGTTAATGGGATTTTCTTGTTCGACATGAATGTAGCGGCCTCATCGAAGATCCGAAAACTCTTCAAAATAATACCTGAGCTTCGAAACAGAACGAACAAGAGAAGATGTCACAGGGTTTTGCCGTTTTGTT